ACGGATCAGCGATAGATGAAAAGTGAAAGCCCCAAATCGTAAGATGAGGAAGGACAGCATCTCGGGAGGGAGAAGGACCTCCTGGTGTTTGGCCACAGACCCACAAACAGGCCGCACCCTCTGCATCAGAGAAGAGAATCGATAGCGGTCCCATAATAGAATGAATTAACACGTTGACGACATCGCGCGTTTTGGCATTTTTGGCCGCGTGGGACCAGAGCGGTTCTGCGAGCGCCGCCGCCTCACAACAAATCTGTGGATTTTGAGCTTTAAATACGCAATACTTCGATGCGACAAAATGTTTTCACTGATATTCGGTGTGTCAAACTTATTGGAAGGTACACATGTGAAAGTGCGGTCGAATGATGTGTTACAGCATTGAAAAGGCAAGTTTCACTTACTTTTGCTTTAGTGATTTCAAAATTATTTTGGACGTGGTTGTTTCGGTAAAAACACATATCTTGCCACACGAGTAGCTTTGTACTCACTTCTAATATTCTTTTTTATCTACATGTTCGTGTTAATGAAGAGAAAATGAGGAATGAACTGAACGGATATTTTCGTCCGGTCCGAAAAACCTCTGCCAAACTAAAGAATATTTGGTCATTCTATAAGCCGCGTGGTTCTTGGTTATGTTGTGGTATGGCCTAAAAAATGAACACAAAAAACCTGGGAAGAAATGGCGCGTTCAAGAAAAAACTGAATGTAAAGGGTGTGGCAACTATAGTTGCCACAATGTCCATTGCGGCGTGCAAAACGCGGCAAACCTAGTTGCCGCGCTGTCGTCAAGGTGTAAAGAAAGATATAATCCAATCACTGGTTTCCTACTTGACGAGACTAAGAATAGTAATACCTGAAGAATAGATTGGTACAAAAAATTAGCGAATCGTAATCAAGAATCACCCCTATCGTTGAAATTGCAAAACCGGCTACAAAATTAAACACGAAAAAGCATTACTAAAACTTAAGACACTGGAACTCTATAATTATGAGGTCCTATCAGAAGGATGACAAGAACCCATGGTTTCTAGTAGACCCGAAGGCTTAAATTGTGACAATTTGCTTGTCAGTTCTCCGAAGTAGAACAAAATCTTCGAATTGAGAAAATATGGATCAAGCGATGAATAAAGATAGACTCACTCAGAAGACCTAGCAAATTGCTGGCATCTTGAAATCCAAAAAAGAAATAATTGAGAATATGCACAGCAGAAAATCTTGAAAAAACAGCAGCATCAAAGATCAAAAAATCAAATTGGGAATGCGGCAACAACTCCATGTTGGAAGAAATACACTACAATTCTAAAAAAAGTATAAAAGGCGAGCAAAGTTCCAAGGAACTACAACTCGACCCTAGAGATACCACCGTTCCGGAGCCACACGTCACGTATCATTCAGAGCAATACTGCTAATTCGATTAACTAAAATGTTGAGGTGCACAGTAATTTCTTGTCATGCTCCCATGCACAGTTGCGACCATATATAAAATCGCAGGAGTTAGGGTTACGAAAGCTCTTCTTTCAATCTCGCAGCAGATATCAGTAGATTCGACACATGATCAGATGGTCCTTTTCGAGCATTCGAGAGTTAATATAACAATCAACGAAGAAAATCCTAGTGTTTTACTTTTTTACACCGACCAACAGTCACATCTAGTAACTCCAAAGTGTCGTACCTCTTGATGGGTACGACTCCGAAAGAATAACCTTGGAGTTCAGATGCATTAATATTCCCGGGCCCTATCGCAAGATACAGGAACATCCCCTAAAAGGCATAGGAGAGGGAACGCCAGGTACTGAAAATTCGCACCCTAGAGTCTCTCCTTCAGGGTGCGTGCGCTTCAGACTCAGTCACGGCTTCGACAAAAAGGGAATGTTTCACGCGGTTCTGAATGCATTGCCACCACAATGCCTGTATCTTGTTCATCAGTAAGAAAAACCGCAGCGTGAACTGCTCATCCCATCCAGATCAAATGGACCACTATAATACTTTGGAAGTTTTTGAAAAAGTGGATAGAAAATTCAAAAACAGATTAAAAGACGGACTCAAATGTTTGGTTGAAAAAAAGCACAGAGGGGCTTATATGGACTTAACTTAAAACTAATGCACAATTCCGGGTAGCACTACGATAATAGAAGTAGAAAAAAGGAAAAAAGAAAAGAAAACAAAGGATGTGAATATTTTTAATATTTAATTGTCGACTAAATATTATTTACACACCCCCTCCACCAAGTTTTGGCCGATTTCATAAACATCCGCATGCTAATGGTAAGGTTTGAATAGGTGAAGTAATGCAGTGCCGCTGTGCAGAATCAGAAGTATTGAAAACTGGCACAAACTCGAACGCCGCGCAAGGGCATAACGGTAAACACACTTGTTAGTTATTTATCTGAAAAATGCAGTACATGTCAACGCTGAAACCACGGCACATTTTCTAACTGCGTAAACAGTGCACTTTTAATCTTCATTTTATCAGTATTCAAAGTTTGTCAGTATTTTCTGACAACAATAGTAGAAGCTTTGCCTTCCGTATCTGTCAACAAGCACATGAAAGATATCTGCTCAGTGAAGCAGTGGATTCACGGCAATGGGTGTTTTTTTTTCCAAAATTTCAATATTTGACTGATTCGTGTTCTCATTCCTAACAACTTGGTTGTTTCATTTTGCCGGTCGCAATACATTACGTGATTTTTCAGGAAATCAGATCAGTAGGCACACCCCTCGGCAGTAAAACACGGTGGAGAGAACAACAATTTGAACAGTAATTTATAAGTCTATATTACTTGAACATAAGAATTCCACAGTTGGGAAAGTGGCACCGAAATTGCTTGAACTTCACTCCACCCGGAAAAGAATGTTTTAATGAAATGTGCTCTGAGTGTCTGAACAGCATACTCTACTGTAAAAGTAAGGATGACGGATGTAAAAAGCGTTCCACGTGTAAAAAACACTTAGCAAATAAATCGTAATAATGAATGTGAAATGAGAACATAAAGATGCATTCCACAAGCAGAACGTCACTTATTGAACCACTGAACAGTCAGCCGTCAAAATGACTGTTCAAAAAGATGTTACGCTCCGGAATATTAGCCCATCAAAATTATTTTCTAGAGCCATATTTCGGTTTGCTCATCAATTCAGAATACCAAACGTTTCGAGACCACATGAAGAGGGAGGACAGGGGCAAAAGACAAATGATGCATAGAGCAAAAGAATGAATGAAAAGAGAAAAGAGACGATGAAGTTGTGATTCGGATTGAACCAAACTATCAAAAAAAAACACTGATTTTCCAACATGAGTTAGAGAATTGAGGCAAATAGAGAGAAGAATTATCTGCTGAGTGCGGATGATGATACAAGTAGAAAAAAAGAAAAAAAAACGAAGAAAAAATATACTCACCACTGCTGGATATGCGAGTTCCCTGATGAGGTACGTTATCATGGGTTCTACGTGTCTCTTTAATGTTTGATGCTTGCTTGCGTAGTCGGACAAGCAGCGGTAACGGATCCAGTACCATGGATACATGCCTTTCTATTACTGGGCGTTCTGTAATTATGAACAAGTGAGCATATTTGATCAGTGCGGATATACACCAACAGTGAGCAGTTTCATGAGCACTCCAACCAAATCAATAGTTATAGCTAAAACGAAGTGAGACTGCATGTCAACGATTTGATTGCATTAGACATTGGTAAACGGACTCGCTTTGCAGAGGCTACAGCAAAATTAAATGTGTAAACGTTGCGCTTTTTATGGCAGCATAAATGGCTGCGTCCAAATGATATGCGTTTGCAATTGACGTACACATACATATAATAAATTGAAAACTAAAAGCACGGATTTCAAACACTATCTTTCATAGCCGATGTTGTGATATCCTCAACGCATGCGGTTCAACGTGGCTTTTGTTTCAATTTATATTGTGCATAGGAGATGCTGTATCATCGCATAGCACATCGCCTTTCACCGATTGAATACCAAGATATCTCATTTCGAAACAAAACAACTTATAAGAAAACAAGAGATCAACTTAGATTCCGCTTGTTAGGTCCGTAATCTAGACCATTCGCTAGCGCTAATCTAGAGATGGTAATTATTCTGACAACAATTTTTGAAATGTTATCTGTTATGAAGTTACGGACTTCAGAAGAAGAAGTTCCTGCACTTTCAAGAACATAAGGTAAGTAGGATCTATATGAGAAACGACCACTAAAAGCCTAGGTGAAATAGGTCGCTATGAGAATGAGGTAACAGAATATCTTACCTTTAATCCATTCAACGACGCAAGTCAAAGCAGAATCAATGAGAGCAACGTTCGTGAGTGGATCCAGTCGCTCAACAACTTTAAGCATTTCACCAAAAGCATATTCCCTAAAAAGTTTGATCTTGACACAAATAAAATGACGAGGAATCTAAAACAGACGAACCGTTCACAGGGATCCTGCGATTTGGTTGCTTGTATTATATGAGGCAAATTTGCCGCATCACGAGGACCTTCTATCCAATCGGCTAAACCACTTATGTGTAACCGTCGCCCTGCTCCGGTTCCTGCAATGCACTGCATTTTTACCAGAATATGACCATTGATTTTTGATGGTAAAAAAAAACTAATTAATCGCAGAATTTTTTGAATCGTTCCAACTTTGATGCGAGAAGCAACGAGGCTTCTTAGGGTCGCGATAAATTATCTTTGAACAAGCATATTTTCGTGGGAGAACTATACCTCGTTACAAGGCGAAGCTAACGAGAGGTCAGGGCTAGGTTTTGTATGAACACAATTCGAGTATGTGAGACGTGTGGTATTCAAAAATGAAGCCTTTTCAATATGTTGCAGCCTTCAGCTGTTCAGTGAAATTATTTGCACCACCCCGAAAAAAAATCAGAAAATATCATATTATGGAATTGCAAAAAAGGTATAGTTTACCATGGTTTAGGAATTCTCAGCTTACTAAATGAAACATTGGCTAAAGCAACAATCACAAAAAGACGACCACCAATAAGAAATTTCTAAACGCACCTCGCCAAATGATTTTGCACATGCTGCTTCTAATCTGGTTAGGGAAGTAGCGCATTATTGCTTGAGACCATGGGTGGCCCTTTCGTAACTGCTGCATAAGCAGCTCACGTGCACGAAAAGGGTACTAGCAAGGAAACTATGCATGTTCAGATGTGTGGTTCTGTATGAAACAGGCCATTCACTACACTGAGAAATCCTCTTCCATGTTTGACAATTATTTGAAATTGGGAGTGTTTGAGTAACTGTAAGTAGATGGCTATATTGATTACAGTTTAGTCTAGGAACGGATAATGATGGGTATGAAAGGTTGTCCAATTTTTGATTGATAAGCAACTCTTACGGCGAAGCTGTTCTTTCGCTTACTCGTGCAAAATTTCACCAGCGTGTCACTTCCGGCAAACGTGTTGCTCATCCTTTTTTTTCAGAACGCATCAGCATCTTCGTTCGCCAATTCCCCTTTAACACCCTGCTTTCTTTTCTGCTTCCTCTGACATGTTTTTTTAGTCTAACACTGCTGCATGCTTGTAAAGCCGCTGGTTTCCTGAGATTTACCCGTCAAAAAAAGCAAGGGGTCTGTTGCCCCCAGGGGGGGGCTGCTGCTGTAACTGCTCGTGATGGGAAAATATCAACTACAGTGATGCTCTCAGGCATTCGATTAAGCAAAAATAGTTCGGGCGGGTTTGCTGAAGTAAGGGGAAATGGTGCCATAATCGCTTGAGCTGTAAGGAACCAAAACATATCAGAGCTAAAATATTTGCTTGAAGGCGGATTTTACGAAGAAAATGTGACTATGCAAATCAAGTTAGAGGTGGTCAGTGATGCACGAAACAAGAAGAAACCGAGAAAAAGAGAACAGGACTAAAAAAATGGGATCGCACCCTTAGGAGGCCCATCTGTCTCTCCACTAGAAAAGTTTGCGTTTCTTCGACCTTCGTCTCTGTCGTGGAATTCTCCTTGAAGCTTTCAGGTAGCCAAGAATCAAAAGAAGTCAGGAAGAGAACAAAAGAAAAGCAAAAAGAAAACGTCTGGATAAGAAGCATAAAAATGAAGCTTTGGATACGCGAGGCTGAGTTACAGTTTGAACATGTTTGTTTTGTTAACTGCTGCACTTCTTTCAAAGGTCCTCGCTGATTTCACAAGTGTTGACACGTAATGTTTTGTCCGCTCCTGAAAGCTTTGGCAGACATCCATTTTGACAGGTTCTCTTTCGTTAGCCACAAATGTCCCCACGTCGGACAATCAACAGACCCTCATGCATTCAGCAGACGAGAGGTAAAAGTACAAAAATAAACAAAACGGAGCAAAAATTTACCCATTTCTTTCATATCGCTCATATCGTCATCTAAGGCTAAGTGATAGTCGTAACCTGAAAAATTCCCCAATTTTAAAAGTGGAAAGAAAACATAAAGCAGTATAACTCACTCGTTCTGCCTGAAAACATATTCTGTGCCGAAGAAGCGATAACTCTAAAGATGTTACGGCTGTTTTTAGTTGACGCTAAACGAACAAAAGTGTCGCTATCCAGTTCGGGTTCAGCTTTGCGAGTAATCTTGAAAACACGTGAAACTCTGAAATTAAGAAGCACTGAAAGCTTGGAAAATCAGCTAGGCTATGCATAACACAAAGCTTTGAACAGGAGCAGATAATAGGCAGTAACAACGGCAATATTGGGAGTTTACAAAAGGCTGCACCGAGGGGTTCTGCACAAAACATGTGAGTTTTGAACGCTAGTTTAATCCGACCATACAAAATGTTAATCGCCTACACGAAATTGACAAAGAGGAAATCAAAGAAAGAAGACCTTACTTTGTCCAAACGGTCGCCAGAGCCAGAATGTATGTGACAAACACGAGTAAGATCAATTGCTGAAGGCGAAGCCAGATCATGCGGTATTACCCCACCGCATAACACAAGCCAAAAACTACTAAATGACCTCACCAGAGCTTCTGCAGCTTTAAGAACTTTCAAAGTAACACCTTATCCGATAGCAGCGATGAGAACATGCAAACGGACTTTTTCTGGAATGAAAATCTAACCAGTCAAGAGAGACTACGAATACGACCGGTCACCTGCGTGCCTTGCCCGACAGCGCGTCAGTGCGCCTCACAGGCGCATTATTCTCCTACCGTAGTCGCAAGGGTGATCGCAGCTGGTGATCCGCTCTCCGACTAACCGTCCATCGTGATTGAAAGGATAGCTTGTGGTCATAACTGGATCAATTCCGCAAGTAAACGGGGAATTTTTCATGTTTATATTTCGATCCTTCATATAATTATGGACCGTCCATCATTTGAAGCGATAAAGGTTCAGAAGAACTTCACTTTCCTTCCAGTCAATTGAGGGTGCTTTCCCGGATGTAGCTTCCCAAATGGCATCATGGGAACTTCTAAAAGAAATTGGGTCTATTCCAGTTAGGGGGCATCATGATGCAGTTTCTCGGTGAACTCGAACATTCCAGCTTTTCACGCATGTCAAGTGACTGCCCTCACCCCCACCCCCCTAGACTGGCTACACTCCCCCTGGCTCGGAGTTACCCT